GCCCCTCCCCCACCCCCACGCGTGTCCCCAACCCTTGGGGACAACCAAGGGGTGCTCCCCGCCCCCAGCGGGGTCCCCCGAGGTGTCCCCGGGTCGCGGTGATGTCACATGGGGGGTCCCCAAGCGTCGGTGACATCACACTGGGGGTCCCCAAGCCATGGTGACATCACTTGGGGTGTCCCCAAACCCTGGTGACATCACATGTGGTGTCCCCCACCCCCGGTGACATCACAGGGGGTGTCCCCAGGCTGCAGTGACATCATATAGGATGTCCCTAAGCGCTGGTGACATCACAAAGGGTGTCCCCAAGCACCGGTGACATCACCGGGGGTGTCCCTAAACCCTGGTGACATCACATGGGGTGTCCTCCACCACCGGTGGCATCACACGGGGTGTCCCCGGGCCACGGTGACATCACAGGGGGTGTCCCAAACCCTTGGGGTGTCCCCAGGCCATGGTGACATCACATGGCATGTCCCCAGGCTGTGGGGACATCACATGGGGTGTCCCCAAGCCCCAGTGGCATCTCCACGCCATGTTGGCGTCCCCAGCCGTGTCCTTAAGCCCCCGGAGATGGCCTCGGTGGTGTCCCCAACCCCTGGTGACATCACATGGGGTGTCCCCAGCCCCTGGTGACACCCCATAGGGTGTCCCCAGCCCCTGGTGATGCCCTGGTGGCATCTCCACCCCACTTCGATGTCCCCAGCCCATGGTGACACCCTATACAATGTCCCCAAACCCTGATGATGCCCCAGTGGCATCTCCACACCATGTTGGTGTCCCCAGCCGTGTCCTTAACCCCCCCGGAGATGTCCTCATTGGTGTCCCAAGACCCTGGTGATGCTCTGGTGGCATCTCCACACCACATTTGTGTCCCCAGCCATGTCCTTAACCCCCCCAGAGATGTCCTCAGTGGTGTCCTCGACCCTTGGTGATGCCCTGGTGGCATCTCCACACCACGTTGATGTCCCCAGCCATGTTCTTCAGACCCCTGGAGATGTCCTCAGTGGTGTCCCAAGACCCTGGTGATGCTCTCGTGGCATCTCCACCCCACCTTGATGTCCCCAGCCCCTGGTGACCCCCCATAAGTTTGTCCCCAAACCCTGGTGATGCTCTCGTGACTTTTCCACCCCGCCTCAATGTCCCCAGCCCCTGGTGTCACCCCATACGATGTCCCCAACCCCTGGTGATGCCCTGTGGCATCTCCACACCACGTTTGTGTCCCCAGCTTTGTCCTTAACCCCCCAGAGATGTTCTCGGTGGTGTCCCCAACCTTTGGTGATGCTCTGGTGGCATCTCCACCCCACCTTGATGTCCTCAGCCCATGTTGATGCCCTGGTGGCATCTCCACACCACATTTGTGTCCCCAGCCATGTCCTTAACCCCCCCAGAGATGTCCTCAGTGGTGTCCTCAACTCTTGGTGATGCCCTGGTGGCATCTCCACACCATGTTGATGTCCCCAGCCATGTTCTTCAGACCTCTGGAGATGTCCTCAGTGGTGTCCCAAGACCCTGGTGATGCTCTCGTGGCATCTCCACCCCACCTTGATGTCCCCAGCCCCTGGTGACACCCCATAAGAGGTCCCCAAACCCCGTTGCTCTTCCCTCAGGTATCTCCAGACCTCACCGACGACCCCGGTCCCCGCCGGCGCCCGTCCCCGCCACCATGGCGGAGGCGGTCCACTACATCCACCTCCAGAACTTCAGCCGTTCCCTCCTGGAGACCCTCAACGGGCAACGCTTGGGCGGTCACTTCTGCGACGTGACCGTTCGTATCCGCGAGGCCACCTTACGAGCCCACCGCTGCGTCCTGGCCGCCGGCAGCCCCTTCTTCCACGACAAGCTGCTGTTGGGTCACTCGGCCATCGAGGTGCCACCGGTTGTCCCCAGCGGAGCCGTCCGGCAACTGGTGGAGTTCATGTACAGCGGCTGGTTGGTGGTGGCCCAATCGGAAGCCC